AAATTTAAAAAAAAAAAAAATTAAAAAAAAAAAGGCTAGTTCTTCAAAATCTGCCACTTGGACGCTCGGCCAGGAGTGCGTTAGTTTCTGAAGATGTCCTGCTTTCAGAGCTCGCTTGTTGGAGGTGCATCGCGGCCGCCTGCTCCAGCCCCACGTTGAGGTTGTCAGTGGTGGGGAGTTGTTGCTGATGCTGACGCTGAATTATTCATGTAGGACCTGTAAACATCCCCAGCTTCTGTCATCTCTGGGCTGCTGGAGGGCACAATGGAAGTGGCTTTTTCTAGAATTATTCTGACTTGATGGTAAAGAACTTTGTACGTACTGATTTTTCTCTACTTAAAAAAACCTGTGGGTATCAAGTCGGTTGCAGTTAGGCAAGATTCTAGATGGACGCATGTGCTGTTAGTGTTACACAGGCTCAAGTAAGCAAGTAGGTAGTCTGAACAGTCTATTGTTGTCCAAAACCCGTTTCTTCTTGTTTCACAGATACGGCCTTAACAAGCATATTACCTTTTCATGACTGTAAATATTGGTATAACCTAAGAATAATAAAAAAAGAACAACTTATTACAATGAGAAGGGGATGTCTAGTTCTGAAGATTTGGTTTTGTGGCAGCATTCTTGTATTATGCAGTATTTTTAGGTATAGCACTATGGTTATGAACTCCTAGAGCTCAGGTAGGGATTTTTATCCTACGCAGTGTGATTTGAGGGGAATTAAAAAACGGTGTTATTTTAAAAAAACTTTACTATTGTGGTAAGTAGGATGGCCATGGGCACAGCGTAAGCACCTGAATAAGTGTACACATAGCATTGTGTCACTGCACATGAGGACCGTGCAGATCTGTTGCAATTTTGCACTGGAATTGTATTCTGCACAATGTTGTTATTCCTGATTAACTAAACAACCTTGACATTTGGAAAGGAAGTATGTAACATTTTAAGTGGATTTCTAGTTAGCTGAAATCTAATGTCTTGTGTTGGGGGGGATGAAAGACCTTCGCGCTTATCCCAAGGATTCAAAAGTTCAGAGGAAACAAGCCAACTACAGTGACCCTTTTTGCGAAAGCATGGTTAATTTTTTCTTGACATCGCTTTTCTACGCGATATAATATAGCCTGCTAAGGAAAAATGTTCTGTTGTGCTTTATGTGCAGTATAACTTACCTATTTGAAATGTACTGTTTGATATTGGTCACTAAAGTACCTAAACTTGTTACTGAAACATAGGAAGGAGCAGCATTTTGGAATCTTCTTTCTAAGAGTTATAATGCACATTTTTTTAACGTGTGGAGAGGATATTACAAGCGTTTGCTTCCACAAGTGTTACTTCTCTCTGGCTTGTTGGTTATTGTATGAATCAACAGAAGTAACTCTCCAGATTGAAGTTACATGCACAAAATCGGAGGATATTAACTTTTCTACATTGTGCTGCTGATGATTTATTTTAAATACACTTTATCTCCTACAGCACTCATTTTAGTTGCTCTTTCTGGGCATATGTGTTTTTCATTGTGATCTAAAGGGATCTAGAAAACTCTCTCAAAAACTGTGGTAAAAGTAGGGACAGACTCTAAAGCTTCCTTTCGGTTTCCCCCCTCTAGTCCCCTTCCACAGTTCTTGTGGTTCTCTATCTGCATCTTCTAAGTTATTTCATTTTTCAGTTACAGCATGAGTGAGAGATGCTCACAGGGAAGGGAACCTGACTTTACTTCAACTACTGTTAAATGCATAAAAGTAACTGAAAAAGTCTTCTGTAGTAGAGAGAAAGATTTTCTTTTTTTCCGTATTATGTTCCTAATACTGGCATTTAACTTACTCTTTCAAAGCTGTCAGACAAAGTTGCGGTGAAGTGTTTTATTCCTCTTCTTTTACACTTGCCTCGAAAATGGTTTTAATGAAGGTTTTCTTGCATGATCAAAAATATTATTCGGAGTTCTAATGTGCGTAGCTACTTAAATTTAAGATTTTAACAATTGTTTAAGCTGGAAGGGATCTATGCCTCATGCAGGTGCACTGCAACACAGTACAATCTTGAGAACAGACTAGTAACCAGACAGTAGTTTCATAATGCAAACAAACGTTTCCTGGATGCCAGTCTTGAACTCTTCAAGTCATTTGTGTTCTTTAGTCAAATCTGAATCAGTGTTTCAGATGACAAGCTGTTAACAATGTGTTACCTTGTCTCTCTATTGTAAATGTTCCAGATAAAAATTCTGACCTATGCAGGACTGCCGTCTGTAAATATTTACTTTGTGCTATTTCTAAATTATGCAAATACCCAGGAATGTGCTGAATATATCTTCCATTTTAGTTTCTCCCTCCTTCAATGATTCTCCATCTAGTAATCATGTTTTGTGATGTTCCTTTCCTCTTCCGTGCTAGTTCAGTGTTTATCCACCATCTGTTAAATGACTACCACAGTCTGGGCCTGCTGGGGCTTAAGTTTTGTGAGTTGGTGTGCATACGGAAAGCTCAATCTTACCTTGCATCTATGTTTCCTCCCAGTATCCTAAGAGAGATTTCCATGTCCTTGAATGGCTTCATGTCTAAACCACTCATGTAATGTTGCCACTCCCAGACTGATTTGATATGCATTTTTTTTCTTGAGGCTTAAGGAGGATGTTGGTCTATGTGGTTTTGAAGTCAGTGACTTCACCTGCTTATGATTACAAAGGGTACTGCAAAATTAAGACACTGTATTGATACAAAGATGCATCAGCCATCTCTGAAAAATCCTATTGTTCATAACTCTCAGCAGTAAAAAAATTCAGAAATGAAATTTTTATGCAGACAGAGTACCTGGACAAACTGTTGACCAGGACTTAAAAATTCTGTCCATGTTGAGCGACTAGTCTTGGGTAAAACTAAAAATGAAAATACATTCACAAAGATAGCGAGGGAAAGAACACCTATAAATGAAAAAGGATGAGGTAAAGTATAAAATATACTTAAACTAGTATGATGTCTCCTTTAATAGCTCCTCTCGTGCCATACATTCAGTTGTGCCTTATGCTGTGCTGCAGGGAAAGTGCATTTGGTTAATTCTCTTTGTAGTCTTCATAAAGTCAGAGGCACGCTTGTCCCGTCGAGAGTTGAAAACAGCCCCAGTAGCGTTCCCTGGCTGCAGGGCACAGGCCACGCTCTCCACGTGAAACGTCTGCTGGGCTGTTACTGGTGGGGTCCTGGGCAGAACCTGGGGCTGCTTTGAAAAGCGGATGCTCTCCTAAATGGATTAAAATACATTCATGTTTCAAGGAAGATGTCTAACAAACGTGAATATAAATCAACTAGGAAACCTACTGATTCCTGTCCTGTTTGTCAATGTTAGAAAGTTAAGCCTATGTAAGTTCATTACAACTTCAAGTGCTGTTCAGCAAACTAGGTAGATATATTATTACAGTTTAGCTGTACTCTTCACCTCATTAATAGTAGTTTTGGGGGAGAAAAAAGAAGAGGAATTAGTTTAAATCGAAAAAAATTGTATATACTTGGTTATCCACTGTAGAGTTTTGTTTCAGGTTCATATTCTTCAACTCTTGTTCCTGTTTTTATGCTACCTGAAATGCTGTATTGACAGACAAGGGGTGTCTGAAAGGTGGGAATTCTCCCGTATAATCAGTGTAATTTCATGGTTTAGCTTTCTTGGAATGTTATTCCCAAAACCTTTCTTAATAAATGTGGTCACTTACTTGTTCCATTATAGCCATTATTTCTATAGGTGCTGATGTTTCACTATGGTCTCAAAGATCAGACTTATGCATACAT